AGGCTACCTAGAAAACAGGACCCTAAGAAAGACACAGGGATTGCCCAGTGACAGAGAAATTGGTGAGATGTGGGTGGGGGTAATGAAGGGCAAGGTTTGAGGGAATGAGAGCTTAGGGGAGCGGGAGATCCCAGCTGCATCAAGAACAGAGAGGGAGATCAAGAAATAAAAGACCATGATAAATGAAGACATGAGAATAGGAAGAAGCAAAGTGCTAGAGAGGTCCATAGAAATCCACAAAGATACCTCCACAATAGACTACTGGCAATAGGTGAGAGAAAGCCCGAACTGACCTACTCTGGTGATAGGATGGCCAAACACCTTAATTCTCAAGCTAGAAAACTCATCCAATGACTGAGGGAACCGGATGCAGAGATCCATGGCAAGGCCCTAGGTGGAGCTCCAGGAGTCCAATTGGCAAGAAAGAGGAGGGTTTGTATGAGCGAGAATTGTTGAGACCAAGATTGGAAAAAGCACAGGGACAAATAGCCAAATGAATGGAAACACATGAACTATGAACCAATAGCTGAGAAGCCCCCAACTGGATCAGGCCCTCTGGATAAGTGAGACAGTTGATTAGCTTGAACTGTTTGGAAGGCATCCAGGCAGTGGGACCGGGACCTGTCCTCAGTGCATGAGCTGGCTGTTTGGACCCTGGGGCTTATGCAGGGACACTTAGCTCAGCCTGGGAGAAGGGGACTGGACCTGCCTGAACTGAATCTACCAGGTTGAACTCAATCCCCAGGGGAGTCTTTGCCCTGGAGGAGATGGGGATTGGGGGAGGCCAAGGGAATCCACGGCTGATATGTAAAATTAAATTAAATTATAAAATAAAATTTAAAAAAAGAAAAGAAAAAAAATTTAAAAAGTAAAAAATAAAAAAAAAATTGGAAGATTGATCTCACTTAATTATAATAAGTACAGCTGAGATAAATCTCTGAATCGTAACCAGAAGAGACGAAAGCCAAATTGCACTTTGGCAAAGTGTAAGATGGTGTTGTGTAGTCAAAGAATATTCTATTGCAGCCTCCTACCAAATTATTAGTATGTACTTGTAAACTGTGACTCTCACTACTATGTTGACTGTTTACTAATTCTAGGTAGCATTCACAGTATCTACTTTAGACATGTCATGTTGAGAGTTGAAACTGGTTCTATTCTTTTAAGCAAACATGAGAGACTACTGAAAAGGAACTTATTCTGAGACTTTCTCTCAGAGGAGGGAAACACGCACCATTTGTTTGCTTGTTTGTTTTTTCCAGAGCTGAGGACCGAACCCAGGGCCTTGCGCTTGCTAGGCAAGTGCTCTACCACTGAGCCAAATCCCCAAAACCCTCACGTACCATTTGTTCACAAAGTTCTAAATCAATTCACAAGATAGCTGTGAAAAATATCTTTATTCATGTTTTTCTACCCTGATATTTATTCTCTTAGAAACACTGGCTTACTTTAAGACATCACCATCTGAGAAAAACACAAACATCCATACTTAGCAGATAGTTGGTGACAATCACCATATACACTTATATGTTAAAAGATTAAGAAAATACAAACTAGAGACTTACCAGATGTAAACAGGTTAGGATAGTATTTAATGTAGAAAACCTTAATGAAATCACAATAACCATTACAATAAGTTTATTTCCTGCATGTCCCTGCATACAGAGAACATCTGTTAATGTGATAAAATCATATGCACAAACCTTACATACATCAGGGTATGTTGTGCCTGATGTGTATCAGTACCTTCTGAATTAAAACATTCCCATCCTGGAGGAAGGCTCCTTAAGACTAGGAAATAAACCCCTAAGTCTCATGAAGCCCAGAAAAATGTATAAATTCACGAGGCCCATTCCCATGTGTAAAAGCGGGAAGGGCTGCTGGGAGGGAGGGAGGGAGACTGCCTAACCCTATGCGACCCACTTTGTTTCAGCTTTCAGGAGTCCTCCCCAGGCTGGGGTCTTTTCAGTGATGCAGCTGCGGAATCGCTCCTGATCACTCCTGTGCTTGTTAGGCCACCTCTCACCCATACTCCTGAAACCTCCACAAACTCACTGATGGGACTGCAGTTGGACAGAACTGTGTATTCAGTCTGTTGTCAGTGCCCTATCCGGGCCGAGCACTTATCTGTCCGTACCTCCTCAGGAAAGGACAACAGTCCTTCAGTTCAGTGGCATTCCTGGTATCCACTAGTGTCAACTGCATCTCTCAAACTGTGGTGTGACAAACACAGATGTCCTCAAATGTAGACCAAACCACTGCATCAGGCACCATTAAAAATAGTTACCATCTGGCATATTCAACAATCTTTTTTTTTTTTTTTTTTTTTTTGAGACAAGGTCTCATTATGTAGCCCTGCTGGCCTGGAACTCCATGTAGATCAGGCCGACCTCAAACTTACAGATATCTGACTGCTACCTTCTGGATTCTGGGATTTAAGACACATGCCACCACACCCAGCTCAAAAAAGAATTTTAATACTATAATTAACACTTCTTAGAAACGGACAATTTCATTTTATGAATGATTTCCGATGCATAAAAATGTGTATGGATATACATATGTTTCACACATGAAACATACTTTTGTATCTCCTTAATGAAATGCTGGTGCCAGGTAAGGCATTTAGAATTTACTGAAATTTCATGTTTCTTTTTCTCCATAAAATGGTGTGAAAATACAAAGGTAACAAGAAGGGCCCTCTCCTGGGTGAATATTCTAGTATGAAAGGTCCCCTGTCTAAAATACTTTTAAAATGGGTTACAATGATTTTGCATTATGTTGCAAAAAGGTTCTATCACTCATACAAACAAGAGATTTATAAACACATATAAAACCTCTGCTCTCTCCAATGAAGCATGTCTGTAAATCAGTGTCCTTCCCTACACCACTTCTCTCCACAGATAATCTTATCTGCTTTCAGACCGTGAGTACAAATCCAGGGATAATGTACTGCAGGAATTGGGGGGTTGAGGCAGGAAAGAAAAGAATCATCACAAATGTTAAAATTCCTATAGAGCTCTGGCCATGTTCTCTCCATAACACTACACATACAGGCTGCCAGTCTTCGAGCAAAAAGGTAAATCTTAGCACACGAGACCTCTGCTAACAGGACTTCTCACAATGACATTTTCCATATCCATAACCATTCTAGATATGCTTTCCCACGTTAACAGCATTCCATCTCTAATGAATTCTCCAATGTGGAGGTCAACTTCCTATAAAAGTGCTGTCCACATCCATTGCATTAATGTACTTCCAGCCCATGAGCTAGCCAGAGTGTTTCCATTTGGTAAAAGTCTTGTCCACATAACCACTCTTGTGGTTTCTCAGCAGTGAGAGGTTTTCTGATGCGCACACATGTCTGTTATACTTACCTAGGTGGGAGCATGTTTAGTTGTGTGAGCTCTTGCACACAGCCCAAGAATATGAGATATTTTCTACATTCTTTACATTCACAGGTTTTTTTCAGTTTTTATATTCGCAGGGTTTTGTGTTCATGTGGTTCTCCAGTGGAGGTAGGTGTCCATCTTACAGAACCAAGGTTTTGCACATCTTGAATTGATATGGCTTATCCTATGTGTCTTCTTTGGTATGCAGCGAAGGATTCCTCACATTCAGAGGGCTCCTCACCTAATGACTGCTGAGATCTGATATCTGGGAACAGGTTTCTCCACACACTGCACCAAACAGTTACTTGGCTGTGTATGTCTGACGTGCAGTGAGTTGTGTCTGCTGCTGAGAGCTCCTCCCCTTTGCATTTCTGAGCACTCTGATGTACAGTTTTGGAAATGTTTCCTAGTCCTTACATCAGAAGGCCTCTCAACTGTGAGGCTTCTCTAATGTGTAGACAGCTCTGACATGTGGCAGGTGACTGTTTTATAGATTGCACTGATAAGTACCTCAACTGTGAGATTTCTCTAATGTGTAGACAGCTCTGACATGTGGTAGGTGACCATTTTATAGATTGCACTGATAAGTATCTCTCAACTGTGAGATTTCTCTAATGTGTAGACAGCTCTGACATGTGGCAAGTGACCGTTCTATAGATTGCACTGATAAGTATCTCTCAACTCTCAATTCTGTGAGACACATGGAGAGGTGACAAACGTCTGAAATGCTTTCCTACATTCCTTATATTCACAAGCCTTCTCAGCTGTGTGAACTCAAATTCACAGAGATGGACTTCTGACTAACGGCTTTCCACATAACTACACTCACAGGGCTTCTCATCAGTGTGAATTCTCCAGTCTTACTGAGGACTGATTATTTCCAGACCTTACATTCAGAGGGTTTCTCACCTGTAAGAGTTTTCTAACAACTCAAGTCTGGCATCTGGCAGAAGTCTTTGGACATATCCCACACTGGTACCTACCAGTGTTTGGGGTTCACTAATTACGAGATGTGACATAAGACTGACAATTGCTCCAGCCTTTACATCCACAGGGATCTTCACCTCTGAACTCTCCGAGGTTCAGGGAGCGATGACAAACGACTTTTCCTACATTCTTTATGAACCTAGGGTTTCTCACCTGTGCAAGCTCTATGATGTCTGTAGAGGTTTGTCTTCTGTTAGAAGGCTTCCCCAGATTTCATGCATGAGGTTTCTCACTCAAGTGAGTTTTTTGATGTATAGTGAGATATGACTTGACACTAAATGATTTCCTACATTCTTTACATTCAAAGGGTTTCTCACCTGTGTGAATCTTCTCATGTGTAGAGAGATTTGACTTCTGGTTAAAACGTTTTCCGCATACATTACACTCATATGGTTTCTCGCCTGTGTGAATTCTCTGATGCACGATGAGCCCTGACTTGATACTGAAAGTTTTCCTGCACTCTTTACATTCGTAGGGCTTCTCACCTGTGTGAACTCTCTGATGTATAGTTAGGTCACACCTCCTTTTAAAGGCATTCCCACATATGTTACACTCATAGGGTTTTTCGCCTGTGTGAGTTTTCTGATGTACACTGAGATTTGACTTTACACTGAATAGTTTCTTACATTCTTTACACTCATATGGCTTCTCACCAGTGTGAGTTCTGTAGTGTAAGTAGAGATTTTGTGTGTGCCTAAAGGCTTTCCCACATACTTTACATTGATAGGTTCTCCCACATCTGTGACGCCTACGAGGTTGGTTGCTTATTTTTGCAGATGTATTGCATTCATGGGGTTTTTTACCTGTGTGAGGTCTCTGGTGCACACTGAAATTTAACTTTGGGCATAATTTTTTCACACAATTACTCTCCTTACTTGAGAAGACACTCTGATTAACCCTCTGTTTTGGCACCTGACACACGCATTTCTCATCGTCCTTACATCCACAGGGCTTTTCCCATGAATTCAGAGTGCTCTGAAGGTTTATAAGGCCTGGTTTTGTATTGAATGTGGGTTCACAATCAGTACATTTATCATATTTGTTTTTTATGCATGTTTTAAAATGCTGAGTATGGTTACACTTGTCAGAGAATGATTTCTTACACAAGTTACAATCAAAAGTGTCTTCCCTTATGTGAGGCCCCTCTTGGGCACTAGGACCTAACTTACCAAAGGCTTTCCCGTATTCCTTTAACTTACTTGGATTATCTCCCAAAGGAAATACCTTAGGTGTCCACACAGTGTTCCCATTGAAGGCTCCATCGTGTTGACTATACAGAAAGTGCCGTTGCCCACTTTCAACACTGTGATCCAGACGAAGAGGCTCAGGAGGTCTGCATGACATCTTGGCTGCAGTAAGGTGATCAAGTTCCTGTATAGGCTGCATGTCACTGGGTTCACCGGGGAGATACACATTTTCCCATATATCAAGCATCTCAGATCTCATTTTAGAAGAGTTCCTATTCTTAATAGCCAGGTGTAAAACATGGTTGGAACTCATATTAAATCTTTTCCCAAATTTGATCCTCTTCTCAGCTGAAGAGTTGTCAGTGATTACCAGGTGGTTTAAATGTCTCTTTTGATTGTCCCAACTGGTCTTGTTCAGGCTCTTCACATTCTCCATAGCTGAAAGGAAATAAAAGTTGCCCTACATGAACAACACAGAAGTCATTCTGATAGAATTCTAACACAAAAGTGAAGAAGTAGCCCCTCCATGAAATAATATTGTAAAACAGGGTCTGGAGAGTTGACTCAGAGGCTAAAAGCACTTGCTGCTCTTGTAGACCTTGCCCTGGGTTACAATTTCATAGCAAATCCGCACAAATCTGTTGACTTAGAGTGAGCTCCACAATGAAAAAGGTCCAAGGCTAACTAGATATTACAATTTCCTCATCAAACAGGAGCCTTTAAACAGGCCTTGGTTCATCTGGGCTCCATGCCTATGATCTCCTGGATAACATACCACCCCTTGGGTCTATCCTACTAGGAAGTCTTTGCAGATGCTCCTTAAATTACATAAATTCTGGTATCTTGATATGCACTATTTGATTCTGACATCTTTTTACATATTTGAATTCCACAGGTGAGTGCCTGAAACCTATGTTTTCAATATTAACATAGAACTACTAATGCCACTTTGGAACTTCTCATGAAAACATAACCACTCTGAAGACTAGAGTTCCTATCAAATTGTGAGCTATGTACCAAATTGGTAAGTCTCAAAATTAATCTGATACGAATTTTAAAACAATCTCCTTAAAACTGCTTTAGCTTTAGAACCATCCTATGTTTTTCACTCATTTATTCAACTAAGAAAACATATTTTTGTGGTTATTCTTTCAATGCCAAAGATTTCGTGTCTCAACTCAGCAGAAGCTCTTTAAACAAGGCAAATGTGGGGTCACCACTGTTGGTCCTACATAGTAGACCACTGTCTATGAGGAATCAAATAAAAAGTGATAAATGCATTAATAAAGCCACGAATAAATGCTTGCAATGAAGCATCACATAAACACAGAGGGAAAGGGACAATGAGGTTTAGAGTAACTACTTAACGAAATGTTCAAGAAGAGCGAGCAGAACTTGCTAGATTACAAAATACACAGCAAAACCAGGAAAGGCGGGTACACCTGGAAGGGAGAGCCTCCCTTGGACACAAGACAGCAAGCATCTGATTACGAAGTTAGTCTCTGGAAGATGGCAGAATTGAGTGAAAAGAACTTCACACTCCCACCACCTGATGACAGTTCACTAGCCTGGACCCCCTGCCTCGGGCGCATTCACTGACCTGGGAGCCTTTGGTTTGGGGCATCTTCTTCCTTCCATGGCCCAGCTCCCTGCTCCAACTTCAGGATCAACTCAGGTTTGGCATCACACTGATCTAGTAATAGGAAACAGTGTGCAAATTGTAACCCCAGACACAAAATACTGGTTTCAGACTCCGAGCAATGATTGG